TGTGTGTGTTTTGTTTACAGCCTGCAGTTCATCCCAGTTCAGTCAATAAAAGTTTCTGAATTTTTGTCATGTGACTGTTGGTCTCATCTGAGTTAATAATGGCTTCACAGTTGCACCAAAAGACACCAAATTTTTTTTTTTGTTGACAGAATCTAAATAAGAGCAAGCAGTTTAATTTGGGGAATTTTTAAAAATAATACGATTTTGATAAGATTTTGCCAACAGAACAGCACGTCACAAATGAGTAGTTGAGGGACTGATGTAAAGTTAAAAATCTAAAAAAAAATGTTTGTGTTTTTGCAGTTTCTGGCTCTGACAAATGGAGGTTTAAAAAGAAGATAAATCATCTGTTGAAGTGAAATGATCTAAAATTTCACAGAAAGCAAAGCGAAAAATATGACCACAGATGTTTAGTTTCCTTTCTTTTCTACTCTAATAACAAACTAATCAGCTTTATCTTGTGACCCTTTGGAAGCCTCATCGAGCTTTAAAAGGCGACACATGAACGGACACATCAGTGATAATCTGTCGTGTAATGAATAATAACACAACTGTCACTTTTACTTTTGCTATGTTGCCGTTCTTGTACATTTGTTTTTTTTTTGCAGAAAACGTGCTGAATAAATCATGTTTGGGTGATCAGTCTAATAAAACGTATGATGAACGGGTGTGAGTTTGCTCCGTGCTGCTGTTACAGCTGTCTGAATGACCTAATGGAATATTTTTCCAACGCTCTAATATTAGAGAACCGCATTAAACTGTGATCTGCAGATTTTCTGTCCTGCTGCTTTTACGACTGTCTTAATCAATTGCATCGCTAAAAAGGAAGTCAGCACAATGAGGCTGAGGAGGAAACATTTTACATGACCTCAAATAATAAAAAAACCAAAACACTCCCTGCACTGGCGGCCACGTTTTGGTCGTCTCTCTGTTGAGGCTACTGGTTGACTCCATTGTGTCTGATATTTGCCACTTTTACAGTCCTGTTGCTGTTTCTGGTAGCCCATCTTTGCCGAAGCACATATTTGGCTTTGTCTGGTTTTAGTTCAGCCTATAAAACAGTAAATCAGTGTGTGTGTGTGTGTGTGTGTGGTTGGATTGTTGGCTACGGATCATAAATGTGAGTGTGGAGAATGGTAGGTTTGAGGAAGACGTAACCACGCCGGACACGTCCTGACAGAGCCGCTCTCAGCTTTCCTACAGCGTGCGGCTCTCCAGTGTGGTTGCGTGTTTTAGTGATGAAGACGGAGCCTCATAAAGCCTGTTTCTCCTCTGAAGGCTCGTGGCAGAAGAATGACCTCATGCGTTTTGGAGTTACTGTCTTTGTGGAGCTCTGACACCGACTCTGAGTTGGAGCTTCGGCCAGACCACGTAATACAGAAAACAAACGGGCGGGTTCAAACTCCAAGTGGAGCGACGGGGAGAGAGGGTTCTTGTGTAAATTGTCCTTTTCTGGCCTTTTTTTAAAAATATAAAAATATGTATAAAATTATGTATTTCTTTATTATTAATGTGCAAAAAAATAAGAGGCTTTAAAGAGAGATGTCCAAAATCTTCTCTATGAAACCCTTTGACTCTAATATGTTGACAAAATGAAACAAACTGTTGCAGCTGGATTCATCCAATTTGTGGAAATCACCCTAAGGGTTTATCTCTACAAGGACGGAGACCTTCACGTTGTTGCTTCATGTACTGTTCTTACAAATCAGTCATGGTTCGCCGTGTCGACTGAGAGAAAGCAAAATATATTTCATGAGTGATCATTTAGTTTTTTGTCCACTGACGGCAAAGTTCAGCCACACCGATCAGCTCACTACATACTGATTCTGCAACGCTGAATCCATCAGTCATCAATTAATGCGTTAATCACTGGATATTTTGGTGATTGATTCATTGGTTTGAGTAATTTTTTAAGGGTAAAAAAAAAAAAGCTAAATTCTGTGATTCTTGCTTCTTAAATTTGTAAAGGAGTCTCTTGTCTTTTAGATCCTGTTGAGTTTCGTCCCAAGGTCCTAAATAAATACCTGATAAAGACTTTAAAAGTGAGGAACTCTCTTGGATGAGACGCAAACATCTTAAAGAAGTCCAGATGCCGTCTACTGAACCCTTTGCGAGGCCTCTACGCCCTTTGTTTGTCCTTTACATGTTTGATTTTTAGATAACTTTGGTTTTGTTAATGCATTTGGCATAGAATTTGGTAAAGGTGCGTATTTTGGGGGGGAACTTTAATCATTAGAACCTCAAGATGTTTCTGGACTGTGTGGGAGGAAGCCGGAGAACCCGGAGAGAACCCACACTGCACAGGGAGAACATGGAGACTCCACGCAGAAAGATCCCGGTGCCCCCACCGGGACACGAACCCGCGACCTTCTAGCTGCGAGGCAACAATGTTAACCAACTGCTCCACCTTGCAGCCCACCTTTAAAGATATGTTTGTAAAACTGACCTCTTTTTGTTTTTCTTTTTTGAGAAACTACTATTTTAAGGTAAAACTGCTAAATATCACCATAAAACTCCTCGAGTTGATTACTTACATAAAAACAATTATTTATTGTATTACAAGTTTTCTGAAAGCGTTTGTTTTAATCCACACATCAAGCATCATGTCATCAAATGTGTGTTAATTAGAAATAATTTGTAATAGAAACTACACACAGGATGGAGAATCCTCACATTTGGGTTCGGTAAGTTTAATAGAAGCTATTTGTACATCCCGACACGTATCATGACGGTGACTTTACATTTCTTGAAAGAGCACAACACTGATTCAGCCGCACACTTCTAGTTTAAAACTGAAATATCGTCTGTTTTTCTCCTTGTAAAATTACCCACAATGCAACTTGATTGCACAGAGTCCAGTTTAGTGCTGAGTCGCAGCCTGCAGACGTCTGTCAAACTCACTGCTTTCTGACTACACACCTCTAGATTTAATTCTTTTTTTTCAACTTTCAAACTCATCTACAGTCTCACCTCAAATGGCATCACTCAGGGTCACGTATAAAACTGGTTCAACGCTCTCAGCGCTACAAAAAGCTTCATGTAATTCTCTTTTACTATAAATTTCCTAATTTCCTTCCCCCAAAAACATTAAATAAAAGAAAACCTAAAGGCTTCCTGTTGTTGTTATTCTAAAACGACATACAGTTCATTATATTCTGTCGGTATTTTATGAGTCACCCTGTTTTGACAATCGCTGTCTGCCTCATAAATAATCCGATGTTTCCTCTTTCTAATGCAGACACAGCCCAGACAGTGAAGGACTGATCAATCAGTTTGCCGTATATAGAAAATTGGATATATGTGTTTGGTAAATGAGTGTATTTTCCTTTAGCTGCGTGAGTTTTCCTTCCTGTAAACAAGCTTGTTTTTACTCATCAACACGTCTTTAGACATCTTCTCTCCTCACCTCTCTCGCCCGGTCGGCCGTTCTGTCCGTTAGTACCGGGGAAGCCTGGCCGACCCGGTGGACCCTGCTCTCCCTGAGGTCCCGGGGAGCCTCTCCTGCCCGGCTCTCCTGGCGGTCCTGGTACTGTTCGGACCGACACCGCCGACTGGTGGGGGATCTGGTTCAGGATGGAGTTATAGCGAGACAAGTGGCCTGCGAGAGACGAAACAGGACGTCGATTTGGAAGAACTTTGACAGTTTTTGCTTCTTTTTCACATTTCGAGACAAATTAGGAGAGAACAGAGACGTGCAGGAGGTGAGAAAGGTCAGAAGAAACATCTTCAGCAGAGAAATTGTAATCAATAGATGTCACTGATTACTCACTCTGGATGAGCTGCTCACACACTTGCCGTGCGATGGCTCGAACAGCAGCTTGGGACTGAACATCCCCCTGAAGAACAAACACAGAGCTCTGAGGATTTGATGCTGCACTCAGCGGACTGATACTGCTTTTCCATTTGGGCGACCGCAGGAGCGTAAACTTCCAGAGCAGCGGTTAATAAATTGGTGGGCGGGTGTTTTGTGGGTGTTTAATGAGCACACTCCACCTTTACACTGATGCTTTTGTATTTATATTGGCCAGAACAGATAGCAAACTTTGAAAACGGCACCGCGGAGAGTGTTTGTAAATGGCACAATTAAATGTAAATCGAAGTTTAATTGCACTAAATATTTGGTCCCGACTCTGTTGACTTAAGCTGAGCTTCCACTGTTGGTATTTTAGGGAGTAGCACATTTTAAATCAAACAGTTTTCTAACTGTGCTGTAAATAAATGTTGAAATTAGCAGTTCTTTCTTATTAACTGGATTTTAAAGGTCAAACGCTGCAGGACCCTTGTTATCACTTATTATGTGGATGCAGTTAGAAAATAGCATCAAGCAACTTTTTAGGAGCCTGGGTTGGTTTAGACTCAGTACAATGAGAAATTTTGCAGTTCTGTATTTGGGGCTTTTATATATTAATGCAATGACTAAAGCCTTTAAATCTTATTAGATTTTACACATGAAGTTCACTTGTCAAGAAAGAATGACTCAGCCCATGAAAACATAACGTCTTCTGTGGCTTTGGAGAAGCTTTCCAACGTTCTGCTGACGTGTAATAATAGATGCTATTGATTTGCATTAGTGGAAACGTAGAACACAGTGTTTTTGAAACTAAAGCTCTTTTCAAACATGCGTTCCTTTTCCTTCATTTGACGGCACCTGAATTTGTCGGCTTCATGTCTGAATGAACAGCGTGCTCCTGTTTCTATAGACGTCATGACATCAGCTTACTAAATCTGACATGCATGCAGCCACATTACCGATTAGGCACGCACAAGCGCTTTGAGTTGTGGGAAGCAATTTGGGGAAGACTTTACCCACAGTTCAACGACAATGTAGATCCAAAATCACAAAACACCTTCCTCATCATGCTCCACTGTTTCACACCTACAACAAACTGAAACATCCATAAAAATAAAACTTTACTGTGAATAAGAGAGAAACGATCAGATTAATAAAACTTGCTAAGAATGATTCAGGTTTTTACAGATTGTTACGAGGAGCTTAAGTGTGTTGCTTCCAGCTGTTTGGGAATCTTTCCTCAGAGTTTATGAAACACCTGCAGCATCATGATCCACATGAAGGTCTCTGAATAGGGAGAGTTACATGCATTCACGCATTGGGAACAACAGAAAAAGCTTCATTCGTTACTTATAATTACAAATGATCCCTCACAGGGTTGATGAGGATCCAATGATAAATCACACTGGGTACTTTTCTTCACCAGTTTATCAGCTGCTGGTAAAGCTTGTGTTACATGCAGCATTCCTTAAGTTGAGTTCAGTTTATACGAAATCATAAATAAACTAGGTTTTTACTACATAATTACTTAAACTTAATCATTTATTAGTGTCTTATACATCACTTGATGGACTGTCAGTTCTCATGTGTTAACAAATACTGTGCATGTTGTTATTGTTTGTGTCACTTTCGTGGGTATTTCTGATGATGCGGTGAGGAACATTAATGTAAAGGCGACCCATGTCTGAAAGAGTGTCTTTAACCGACAGATAAAGCAGAACTATTGTGCAGCTCATGTCTGAAAAAGGCCTAAAAGACATTATAGACTTTATTTGAATCACAAGTATATCTCTCTCACAGATGTTCACTATTAAATCCATTTAAATAATACTGATAAGTTATGTTGGTTAGATTCCTAACTTGTGTTAAAGCCTGTGGTATATGCATGTATGTATTAGTATTTTAAAAAGAACAGTGGTACCTGCAGAACTTGTGTATTTTGTATTTTAATTCAATAGCTGGCAGCTTCTTCTGCTGCCTTGCATTCGTCACCATCATGCAGTCATCTGATGTGACATCTCTTACTGCGCACGTAGCAAAACTATATTAGAGGAAAAAGCTGTGCAGTAAATGTTTATTTTCTCCTGTTCAGTGGAGTTATGACTGTATAAATTACACTGGAGCTATGAGGTGAGGTTCAGGGTCGATGCACGCTACAAGATACTCATCGGCTTCATACGCAACTGGGCCACCAGAACACCAAAGGGGAAAATCCTGTCATGTTTTTCTTTCTTTTTTTTTCTTTCCCAGACACTTTCATGTTGAGCCTTGTGCTAAAATTAACCGCAGCAAGGTACAAACGTCCCCAACAGTTGATAAAATGAAGCCGAAGCAGGAATTACAGGTTCGATTCAAACTGGCGAGTCGCGTGTCTCTCAAGCCCTCGGCGGTGATCGCCTCGCTACGGTGTCAGCAGAAATACAGACCTCGCTCGGCTGCAAATTTGAACCATGAACACTGATTTGATTTGGTGTGCCTTAAACGAGGCTGAGGGAGTCAAAGAGGAATAAAGTGAATGTTTGTGCAAAAGGCGAACGGGGAAACAGTGACTGTGGACCGGAGACTAATGCAATTTCTTCAAAACAAGGGTGTGAGGCATTAGTGAGTAATTGTCAGAGTTTTACTTCAGCAGAATAACACTTATTTCCACTGCAAAACGGAGCAGTAAAACTTGATTTGCTCTCTACGGCGACCGAGTGGAGTGACTTACTCTTTCTCCCTTATCGCCTTTGGTGCCAGCAGGACCCTGAAACATAAAAGCACAGGAAGAGAATAAACAGTCAACTCATCTCTCTTCCCCCAGTCTCCTTTAATGCCTCCTCCCCATTACTCTCAGTGTCTCCTTCCCTTCACGTCACTTCTGATCTTGCAGCCAGTATGACCGAATGCATTTAAATTTTGACAAAGTGCGTCCAGATTTTCTGTGTCCTAAAGATAACGCACACATTGGAGTCAGCGCTGCCCACAAACACAGAGCGACATCTGTGCCTTGGATGAGCTTCCTCGCTGCTATTGTCAACACTGTAAAGCGCAGAGATGCATATCTAACCCACAATGCACACTCGAAAACCTGCCAAGCCTGCGAATGTCAGAGTGTAACGCGCTGTAATCCAGAGGCAAATAAAAGGCAAATATTTCCTGGCCACAGAGCCATGTGCTGATATGATAAATATCAGTTTGATGCTGTTACAGCTTTTGCATAAAGGCTTGTTTATCTTGGGGGAAACATGTCCTTGACCACCGACTGACTGACTGGCTGTGTTTGTGCACATGAGGGTGGGTAGAGGAGAAAATGTGGGCCTGGGATGTCATGTGCATATTATATTGCAGAAGAAAGAAAAGCTTTGCCAGCATTCGACACAGCCGATGATTTGGAGAGCAACAATAAAAAATAAAAAAAGTCTCATCCTGGGCCTCTTTCTGTGTGTTTGGATTTCGTGAGTCTTCTTGGGCACATAAATGTCGACCATCTTATCAGGGCAGCATGGGAGAACCAAATCAAACTATGGAGAAGCCAAAGAGCATAAACACAGGGGTATCTCATAAATCCCGTTTCTTTTATTATTCAATCAAAACTATCTTCCCATTATGCCCCGTAGATGCAGGTTCTGTCCAAAGTGCAGTCAGTGTTTTTTCACTCAGAATGCTTTACAGTTCATCTGCAGAGAGAAGTGCACTTACGAAGACTTTGCTCCTGCACAGCACTTCCAAACGTGGACCGACAAAACAGCCACAAGAAGAAGAAGAAGTAGTTTGTTTTCTTTCGTAACTGGCAAACATAAGGCGGCTCACTACCAAGTCAAGCAAGATAAATTAAAAACCCCTCAGGTGGTCGACATGCTGGAATCCACATTCACAAACAGTATTTGGTCCAAGTTGGACACACATGGTCTGATTGCTCAGGACATCACCACGAGCTATGACAACCTGGCAGATGTCGGGTGACACGCTGGGTTTTAGCCAAGATGAGGGTTAAATATTCTATAATTCTTACATTACTTTACAATGATCTTAAATTAAGCTACAAATCAACCAGGTTTCATTCTGTCACTTTTATAAAGTTCATGAACATGATCTTGATAGATGTAGCATAGCATTTCCACAGGCATCATGTCATTTCTAAAACAGAGCGGTTTGGGTTTTACATTAGAAGCTCAGGCCAAGAATTTGTAGAAAGTGCTTGAAGACCTGCTTCTCTGCATTATTGCGCTTCATCTGGCCTTCAGTGGTATAAATCAGCCCTGTCTCCCAGAAATGATGTTCCTGTGCGACTAAACTGCTTTCTCAATTAGCTTTTGAAGGAAGCATGCTGGTTGTTTGTGACATATCACAAGTCTGAAGTTTGTTTGAAATCATCATATCTTTGCCATTTGCTATGTTTCTTTACTGTCGCTCCTTTTTAGCCAAACAATCAGATATTACTCATAACCCAGAAAAAGGAGACAGCTACCACCCCAGTAGTTTTTATACGTAACCACAAAGCAAACGCAAAGCAAACAATAGAAAATAAAACTGTTTAGGAATAATGGTCCACATGGCTCTCCTTGGTGAACGTGACTTAGGCCTTGATTACGCTCCCTTGTGAATGTGCACACGGACAGCTGTGGACACCCCCGTACACATTGTTGGTACGAGACAACTTTTATAGTGCGTGGGAGTCTCCTTGGAAGACTTTGTTGCCTACATATGTAGTGGGTCAGTCTACGTAGCTTGTACATGCACGCTGCTGTTGAGCATGCGTACTGTTTCCCTTGGAGCACATGGACCATCCACATGGACGCAAGATTTGGTTCGCACAGACTCTTGCGGACCTGGTGAGGTGATGAAATCAATGTGACGATGACTGTAATGGACCCCTGCATACTTAAAGATGTGGAAAGGCCAACTAATGCTTTTTGCATGCTCAAGTCTACACATGATGAACAGCGGTTGGGTAGAAGAGGGTGACCCGAGCAGGATGACTCAGGGCTCTGGAACCATACAGCTGAACCACATCTCCCACACCAGTCCCGGCTTCCAGCTGCCGCTCAACATCGACCCACAGAGACCCGTCCCAGACATCCAGGCCAATGGCAAGCCCACCTCCCCCGTTTGCTCCAGACCCAAGATCCTGCTCCCGATGGCCCCCGAAAAAGCTGATGAGGAGACACTTGAAGCAGATGAAGCAGCTTGTTGCTTTCCAGAACATCCTGGTTGAGGTCATTGAGTCCAGTGGCGAAGAATGGCCCAAAAATTGTGACCTTTCAGACTTCCCGCACTGCAAGCTGCACATGGAGCAGTGAAACAAATGGTGTCTACAACAAATGCTTGTTGTAAAGAGACACTGTTCAGAGAGATTCTTCGTCATCCACACCTTTATAATTCATCTCATACAGAGTTGTAATTGAAGTCGTTGCTTCCGGAGTTTGGAGGTGCTTTGATTTGTACATGCTTTCCATTGATGGTGCTCAAACGGAGCAGGAAGTCCTAATTTCTCCAGACGTCCTGTGCTATGTTCGCCCACTGTTCTTGGCATACCTCGGGAACAATCATAATGATCGTGAACTGCTATATCCTGTAAAAAGTCACACCTATTTTAGTACTAACAGAACCAGATGTGCGTCTGCTGTCTGTTTTCAAAGACCCCATCAGTCATGCAGAAATCACAATGCGGACTTTGTGTCAAACTGGAAGCAAATCCTACAAGGTCACATCCTTACCTTTCGGTGAGAAAACACGTTTCTTTCAAATCATAAATTAGAATGCAGTTTAGCTGTATGGGAATATAATTTTTGGGAGACAGGGTTGTATATAAATCCACTGTCCTTCAACTAATTTCTCAGTCTATTGAGAGATTTGTCAGTAAGACTCGCTTCTGTCTTAAGGTCAGTTGTGTCACAATGAAGGAAAATGCTCAATTTCCCTCCAGCTTTAACTGGCAGGTATTTCACATAAAAACAACTTGTTAAAAAGAAAAATATTCTCTTGCAGCAAAGGATTGCAGGGGGCAAAACAGGGACTGAATAAGTAATTTAATGTTAAGGTAAATTTTGAAACTGAGGAGGAAGTTAAATAAGAGACCAAACCCCAGGAAAGTTGGATTGCTTTTCTTCTTCTTCTTCTTCTGTTTATGCATTAGCTGCATGTGCATACATTCATAAGCGTGTTTTTGTCTCGGGCGTCTCAGAAATGAGGCAGATGTGATCTCTCACCGGGTTTTTGTGTATATATGTGTGTGTGTTTGTGAGATGGGGAGAGACTAAGTGATTTATAGCTCTACTCTCTGAGCCAAACTTGCTGCTGGCCTGCAGAGCTGACCCAAGACTAGATTAGCTGTCACCAGCATCACAGTATCATCTGTTCCTGTTAGGATTACACAAAGTTTGGATCCCAGCATCTTCTCCTCAGCATACGGGCCTGGGCTTGTGCTTGTGTCACTTGCACAAATTCTTCTTCTTCTTCTTTTTAAAAAAACAATATCTGACTCAGTGCACTTCTGGAATTAAAGCTGGACCATAATATTATGATTTTCATTCATTATTCATTGAAAAGTCACCTCATGAGGTAAGTGTACCAGGATTTGTCTTGGATGACCTGAAAAGATCAGCCTGATTACTGTAGAAATATTGTCATATGAATAAATGATACAGTTAATAATATGATCTGTGCCTGATGCTAACAGGCTGTGTCCAGTTAGGAAAAGAGGAATCAGAACAAAAAGAAGATAAACGGTCCTCAAAACGACGAGCTCATTTCAGTAAACTAAACCAGCTCTGCAGCTCTGACATTGTTTTTCTCCAATAATTTTAGGGAGGCATAATGAAGAGAAAAAGAGAAAGTCGTGGAGAGGTCGTGTCCTCTTTTTTCACTGGCAATTTGTCTGAGTTATGTCAAACTCTCGTGGATGGATAATGTGAGGCTCGAGTTATCAGTCAACACCACAGGTCTCTTAGTAGGAGGGAAAACCAAACATGCATTTAAACCTCCCGTGTGAGGGCTGACTAATAAGGTTCAGGTCAAACAACAAAATGGCTTTCCATCTTTCCAGCCTACACTGTGTCCGATGGATTTAATTTTAGCGTTCTCAACAGGCTGTTTTAAAAGGATGGACGCAGCCTCTGGGTCTGAAAAGGGAAGTCAACATCGTAGTGCCTTAAGCCTTGATTATTCTCCTTACGGATGAGCACATGGATGGCTGTAGACAACCACAGATGAGTGCTTGTGATCGTATTTTTAGTCTGTGGAAAATTGTTCGGGAGACTCTGTTCCATACAGGTGCAGAAGATCATATCATTTCTGTACATATGCAATACTGCCAAGAATGCACACTATTGCCCTTATAGCATAGTCACTGCACGGACTGCATGTGAACGTCCATGAAGGGGTCCATGCAAACTCTTATGGCCTTGGTGAGATGACAAAATCTGTCATGCGGATCCTTTCCTACTTAAGGAAGCCTTGATTATATTCTGATGTAGATGCACACATGGACAGCTGTGGACAAACATGGATGCATACTTGTCATTGTATTACTTTTTAGTCAATGGGAGGGTCCTTGAATGACTTAGCTGCATAAATGTGCAGGAGGTTGCATCTCTGCCCTGCTGCCCTTGTGGTGTAGTCACTGTGCACACACGTACAATTCATCCAAGCGAAAGATAAATGATAAAACTACCTTATGCAGACCCTTGCGGAACCTCACGGGTAAGAAAAAAACAACACCTGCATTCTCTCTAACAGCCAGTAGGGGGCGACTCCTCTGCTTGCAAAATCCAGTCAGATTGCATAGAAGTCTATTAGAACGTGACTCTATTGCTCACTTGAACTGTTATCTCAGTGAACACTTTCTTGATGAGTTTACGGTCTTAACGGACAGTTTCAACCATCCTTCAATACAGCGTGACATTCATTTAGTTAATTATGGGTCAGTTTAGAGAAAAATAGCCGGTAAAATCAGGTACTTTTTGTAGGTCCAGGCTACCTTGTGATTGACACAGTTCCATCGTATCGCCATGCACAGCATCCTCAGGTTCTCCAGACAGATTCATTGCTTTTCTCCACAGCCGATTGCCGAGCTCAAGGCTTTACGACGGTAATCCACGAACCAACTGGTGACATCACGTTCACCACGTCTACATTTCTACAGTCTACGGTTCTCAAGCAAATGTGTTGGCAGACCATTCTTAAAACAAAACAAAACAAAACATCATCACTCACAGGGACTCCTTGTTCCCCTTGGGGTCCTGATGACCCACCTGGTCCTGGGGCTCCTGGTGCTCCCGGGGATCCCTGAGAGACAAACAATAAAAGAACGAAACAGATGGAGAAAGAAAAAGACTCAAAGCTATGGGTAGATTTCCAGATAAAAGGATGCTGAGAATAAAAAGAAAACAGACTTACACCAGGCCCAGGGGGCCCTTGTTGTCCCTGTGGTCCATTATTACCCGGCAGGCCCTGAAAGAGTGATTATAGGTCATAATTGTAGGTTGAACTTTCTTTTGCCTGAGGAATTTCCTGCAAGTTTTCAGACGATACTGACAGGGACACTGTTATTTCCTAATGCAATTAAGATATAAGCTGAAGACAACTCAGGAGCTCCTGCTTCTGCTGGTCAAAGTCCTAAACCTGCCTTGGAGCAATCTTTAATTTTTGGTTTCACTTATTCTTTCAGAAATATTATGCAAAACACAGGTTCAATCTTCGTGACTGCACAACCTGTACTTTGGTTGTCTCAAGGTGTTTAAAAGCATCTCTGCCACATAATGTCTTCTCCATGACGCTGTGGTTTTAAAGAACACATTAATATGAAACTGCAGCTCTCATTTCAGAAGCACGTCGGTAATTCTGCAGGCCGGTGTTTGACATATAATAACACGACATTTAATAACATGATGATGGTTTTGTTATATCGCAGCAGTTATGGGTCATTCAATCTGAACAAATTCACTGCTATTAATACACCGTTTGGAAGCTGAACTCGGCATCGGCTTGTTCTGGAAAACAGCTCAACCTGAGGTTCAGCTAATCCTTTCATTTCAGCTTGGATGTCTGTTAAACTTTGCGGTCACATATTGAGTCTGATGGACACTCCTTACAAGGTCTTCAATTTAGCCTCTGAGGGGGAACAAGCCATCCATTAAAAAGTCTAAAACTACTGAAAAATGGAGAATATGACGCAGATGAAGACAGAGTGTGCAGAGTCTGACCGATGTCTTTTGGCTGATATTATCCAACAATATTATTCGTCACAAAAATATCGGTATTGGCGTATATGTTGCCTACATGCACCAATATTAAAGCCTTTTGCAGAAAAAAGGTGCTTCAGAGTAAAACAGAAACCATCCTTTACCATACTCTCAGCACTGTCTGCAGCACATGTAGCAGAGCATGTACCACAGCTGAGCAGACAGTGTTGTGGAATGAGGCTTGATCAAAAAGTTTGTGCGTGATTCACGTGAACCGTCAGCAGCGTCTATCAACAGCAGGACCTGTGTTGCATGTTTGTGTGACCACTTCCTCGTGCACATCTACGTTTACTCCACAGAGCTTCAACTGAAGCAGAGAAGAAAATATTATCAGCAGCTGAGTCCATCCAACCTTCATGTGGTGGATCATCACTGCTGATGAGAGGTGGGTCTGCGGTTACCACCAAGAGAAGAAACAACAGTTTTTATAGCGTAATAGCTGCATTTTGCAAAATTGGATAAGACGGTCTACAGTCTACCAGAAACCTACTCATTGTTTTCTTCAACATGCATCAGGAATTCATAAAGACAAAGTTCTACTGTAACATCCTGAGGTGTCTGAGGGACAACATTCGGCTTTAACAATCTGAACTAAGGCGCGAAGCTCCAGCCTGGTAAATAATTGCTCGGCACCAAACCTACTTGACAGGTTCGTCTTCTGATTTGTGACTTCTCTCTCTCTGCTCAATTCTAGCAAAAGGGTTTTGACACAGTTTAAGAGATTCTGTGTTCATTGCGGACGGTGCTTGACATGTAAAAAAATGAGCGTGATCCAGGTCCTGGTTTTGATAGTGTGTGACAATTTGACTCATGAAAGTGTAAAAATATACATACCTATCTATGTGTGTAGGTGTGTATAACAGACCAATATATCCATCCATCCATCCATTATCTATACACAGCTTAATCCTCATTAGGGTCGCGGGGGGCTGGAGTCTATCAGACCAATATATCAATTTCTGAATTTTTTAATCTTTAAAATCGATATACACCCCAAAACTCCACCTTTTTTTTTTTAAGTTATTTTTTTGTGCCTTTTATTTTTGACAGTGCAGTGAGAGAGAGACAGGAAAGTGGAGGAGAAGGACATGTGGGAAAGGGTCATGAGCAGGATTCGAACCCATGACCTCCACATGGGGACTGTAGCCCTGCACATGGGACGCCAGCTCAACCCGGTGAGCTATAGCGACGCTCCATGACCTTTTTAACGCAATAATATAAAATGGGGAAGCTTTGAAGGAGCAACAATCTACATTAAGCAGTTTTCTCTTCTGATCATATATTCTGTTTATGTGTCATGTTTTGCTTGTACAGTTTCTAATCTCATTTAGCAAGCCGAAGATGGATGGCATATCAGTGAGGGGGAAAGAACTCTACTGTGGTGTCACATCCCACAATCGCCAAAGCATCTACAGCGAGAAATTTCACCTTCCAAATAAACACGGCAAGTTTGTGACTGCATAACAAAAAAAAACTGAATTCATTACACAATAACGTATGCACAAAAAGCTGAGTCGGTGTGTGAAAGCCGCTCAGCCAGAGACGCCCTGGTGTCGCACAGTAAACACTCGCTGCAGTCGGCCCTCTAATGGGACTCTGGAGGAGGCCTCACATCCTCCCGGCGCTCACTGAATCAAACGCATTTCACTTGGAAATCCTGTCAGACTGAGCAGACACACGTGTCATAAGAGGGAATCCAAAATTTTCAAACTTTACCAATCAAACAAGCATTTATTGGAAGGTTGGACAGAAGTCAACCTGATGTCACATTAAGAAAAAGCACATTTTCTATTGATTAATGGGAGTATTTTAGAGACGTAGTTATCTGTCTGCTGTTGGAGGATAATTTATACATACACACACCAACAACTCAAGAATTTATTACATGTTTTTGACTTTTCTAAATAAGAAATTCGGCCTCCTGCCTCCTCTCACAGAAGTGATGCTCATGAAAATGCGTTGTATTTTTGGAATCTGAGCAGCAACAGGTTTGCGCCCTGACCTATAGTCCACAAAATTGGAAGGAGGTTAATCTAATTCCAATTTATATCCACAAACAGTGTGCAGGTTGTGTCTGCGTAACCTCTATTAGCAACACAGAACTTTCTACTCATTTTAAACTTTCTGTGCAAAGGACTGTGTGTACCTTCCCCGCTGTTGCATAATTTACAAGTCATCAGTATATCCAAAATAACAAATGTGTGAACCGAAATGACTGCCTGGAGAAGAGCACCGGCGAGCTTTTATGAGGCCGGTTCTCAGGAAAACCTCGATCTACTCAGTCTGGTCTGGAGCTGGAAAGGTTCTGTAATAAGAACCAATGACAAAATAAAAGATTTACAGCTTTCCAGTGATTCATTTCACCGTGATACGAACGTATAAAGCACCCAGGAGACAGTTACTGTTGTTTCAAATGAGCTAACTGGCTGTTGCAGTGCACTTTTTGCCAGACTTGTGTTCTTTTTTACTCCAGCCAGACTGTTTTTGGCTTGTATACACCTCACTAAAAGTTTTGTAGAGTGTCCAAACAACTAGAGCGATACTGATACGTTTTACTGCGAATCAATACGGGGCTATCTGCTCTCCCTGCTCTGTATTGTACACATTGGATGATACAGGCTAGTGGCTGCTGTAAATCCCCATTAAAAATAAACCCCAAAATGCACCACGGGCTTTGTGAGTGACTATTCACTGACAAACGCTGCTTCTTCTTCATAATTACTGTTATTTTGCTATAATCTACTTCCTATATTGCTGTCAAATGAATGTTGATAGCAGAAATTGCTGAGGCATTGATAACATCTGATGATTTTTATCCACATTCCCGACTGCTTTCTGTGCATCCACTGCAAAAATAAAACATATTTACAGACAGACATCAGAGCTAATTCTGCAGCAATTACTGTACTGATTGGAAATATTTCCCATCTTGCATGGAAACTGAAATATAATTAGCTCTTCGTAATTCTACAAACATTTTCTTACTTTGATGCATTTACTCGTGCTGTGTGGGTTTGACTTTCCCTTGCAGGGGATCAGTAATAGTACATCCTATCCTTTCATCTGAACACGTGCATTGTGATATTTTTCTAATAGTCTCTGCAATAATCACAAATATAAAACACATCTGTAGCATCTCAATGACCAGTGAACGAGACACGTCTGTCATACTGTAATCAGTGCTACAAAGGAGACGTTTTCCTCGATTGATCACAACAAAGATGTTCCCTGATTAGTGATTTCACACAATTACACTCAATAATTTCACTGGTAAACATGTAGTGTGTTTAGTGGGCGCTGACACGGTGCCAGCTGGTAATGGCAAAATTTCAGGAGGATCGTATTTAGTTAAATTCAGAGAGAGGGTTAATAAACATTAAAACACTTGAGCTGTGCAGTGTTTAAAAAAACGTAAAGCTTTTATTTTACTTACATCTGATGGTCAATTGTTGCTTTGGTTTATTCTGCTGGATTAAATCGATTTTGACTAACAGACTATATTGATGGAGAATCTGAGAACGGCAGCATGTAGACCAACCTGAGTGTGTACAGAAAAACTCTGCAATAATAATAATAATAATAATAATAATAAAACCTGTGAAGGTATTTTTCACTGCAATATAAAATCCTGCACCTCTACAGAAACAGCACAAGGAGAGAACTCAGAATGTCTTTTATGCAGCATAAAACACATTTATAATGGCAAGACAAGACTACAAAAAAAAAAAAAGTAAAAGCAAAAGTTAGATTTCCAGGATTATTATTATTATTATTTTATAATAATTATTATTATTAGTAGTAGTTTTACAAAAACTCAACATTCTTTCAAATGTCCCACGTGTAATGGCTAAATGTCTGTTCTTAAAGTCCTTACGCAAATAACCACTCAGTCAGACGGAAAGAACGAGTCTACTCGTGTCTAAGTTGAACTAACTTAGTCTAAGTTGTGTTCGCCCCGTCTTTAATGAAGATCTCGACATAGAACAAACACACAGCATTACCTTCAATAGATGCACGAGCTCCCCCACGTCATTGCTCAGCGTCAGTTCCTATTGGCTGTTCATTCCAGAAATTCCAAGCCTTAAACTAAATGCAGGTACTAAATATATCCAAAGAATAATAACTGAATATGAGCATAAATGATCGAATAGAGAATGGCACCAACACCACGTGTTAGGAATGCTGGCAAAATGTTGGCTCTGTGTACTATAGATATTGTACCAGTCACATTTTTATAACCTCTACAAACTTTTCCTCTCTTCTCTGCTCATCAGCTCCAGAGGGATATTTCACTCTGCTGAATGTATCGTGCAGCAACATGCTGAGCATCTGCTGCTCTGGATGCTGTTTTGCTGCATTTGTTCTTCTCATCGAGTACGCTCTACTTTCCTTTCAGTCTCTCTAATTTGTTTCCTGTAATTATCTCCTTGGCTGAAACGTCCCTTCATTTCTGCCACTTGACTGTTGGTCACAGCTGAGTCACTTCTTGGTTGCATTAAGAAGCAATTTATTTATTTATTTTTGTATTTTACAGGATCTTGTAATACTGATGAAATATCACAATTTACAGCTTAGACTTGGGTAATTTTCTAGATGGAACCATAATGATTAGTTCAAGAACCCTCGAAAAGGTGAAAATTCAGGAATGTCTTCTGTTTTGACAGTTTCTGGCTCAGATAAATGGAAGAATTTTGGCCTTTTATTTATTTATTTTTCGAGAAAACAAGGCTTCTAATGAAACTGCTCCCCAACTTCTCCAGTGTTGGGGTCCTGGTGCTGCTCCTGCACACTGTAAAATACAACAGTCACACCTTTGCTTTTCTTTCTGCGACGTGTCATAATGTCTGCTGTGAAAAATAATGAATAGTTGAAGTGTTTTTGATAACAGGTGGTAACCTTAGTTCAGCCTGTGGTAGAGTTTAGCAGAATGTAAGACAGCTATACGTTCACATTTAAAGGCAAAAGTTCTCTACAAATATTTTCTCACTATCTGACTTGTGAACATAGAAAAAAGGCACATGCTAGAACTTAGCAAACAATCAAGCATCAAACTGAGCTTCTATGATAAAGTTATTAAAGCCCTGAGTCAAAAACAAGACAGAAAGAACCCATGTCTGCAGTATTTAGTTCCAGTGGATGACTTAACGTTATACACGGTTTTGTTTTTTTTTTTTATTCAAAAAGCTAAAAATCTCCACGTCAGTGTTAAGCTGTGAGAGCTTGTGTCCATATCTGCTGCATGCAGACTGACAATACAGTGGGAGTTTGACGGAGACAATGTTGAGAAGAGCTAAAGGCGTAAGGAGAAGTATTTAGGATAACATGGAAACATCTAAAGTGACACAATCCCGCGGATGTGTTGTTCAGCGTTTGCCAGACTTCCCTGCTTCATCAGTCTGATTCCTCTGGTTTCTTACATGCAGTGGGAACAGACCAGACTTTGCCAACAGTCAGATGAAAGAAAACAAATCCTGCTGGAAACGGATTTGAAAAAATGATAATACAGATGTAAATTCACGACGCAGAGGTTGCCACTGGCTCCTTAAACAAAGCAAAATATGAGTTAATTCGCTCAAAGTTCATGAACTCCAAACCTCTCTGTGTTCTGAAGGAAGCCACATGACAAAGCCTGAAAACTATCTCTGACTTGTTCTGACAACCGCCGCCGAGGACGACGAGCGTCTGGACGCTGCCAGCGAAGAGACAGCAGATGGATGACGTGCCGGGTCTTTCTACCTCTCCAGGAGCCCGGCCAGGACGAAGCTCTTCTCTTATCGTATTACATATTTGGACAAAAACCTCCCTTTCGCTGCTCGCTGACACATTACCCTCTGGCTGCGTTTCTGATTTTGGTATTTACAGCCCAGTTGGGCATTGTAAGGCCGGATTTCGCTGTCAGCATCAACTACAGCCAGCTGGTATCACAGAGGCCTTTATGAATGGGATCTCAGCTATTGTGAGTGTTGTGTTCAAAACCTGGGCAGAACACCGAGGAGAGGATACGTAGGGCTTTATGAAAAGATATAAAACCAAACAGACAAACACAGCTGGGCATTTAGATACTGTACAACGCTGGAAAAGTGCCAGAAATATTTTCACAAGAAACTTCACATCTGAAATATCGAGATGTGATGTTTTCGGTTTTAGCTTTTTACTGCAGTCGTTTGTCCTGTTTTTGCCCTAAATGTCTTCCATCATCAGTTTCTTTTCACCTTCCTTTTGCAGTTTGTATTTAGTATCTATAAAAACAAACACATCACTGGTTGTAGATTAAAGTTTTGAAATATCAGGAAAATTGTAAAATCTGTTTTTTATATCAGCGCATCGTTTTTTTTATAATGACTTGTAATTTCACTGTCAATTCCCACCTTTTTATTGCTCTTATTATTATTTTTCTAGTATTAATTTATCACCTGAACTACCTTTACCTTACCTGACACCTTTGATCAAAGGCAGAAAGGAGAAGAAAATGATCAGCTTTTTAATTTTCTGACAGTCCTTCAACTACTCATCTTTGTGGTGCACTTCAATCCAAATCTAAGCTTGAAATCAAGACATTTCATCATAATGACTGTATTCTACATGCCAGCTGAATTGCAGACGAGCAAAGAGGAGACAAACGTAGAAACACATTTAAAATCTACAGTACATGCAGCACCTTGTAGGTACTTGGAAAAGTTTGTACATGTTGAGTCCAGTTAATTTTTTAATTTTGCAAAATGTAAACGACTTTTGTTTTTCCCGTCCCTTTAATGATTTATGGCATTTTAAGTTTGCACAAAGGACATCTCTGAGTTCTCTCTACTTCTAGTCATGATTGTCCTGTTTCCATTATTATATCTGTATTACATCTGTGTATATTTATCTCATCCATAGCACAGGTTTTTTAAAAGTGTACCTGACAGAAACTGCCTTCTTCTCACAATTTCAGGATGGTGTTTTACACCCTATTCAGCCGTGTACTAAATTTGAAAAGATTTATTGTGTCTACATCTCTATTGACACTCACATCAACACATACTGCATCTCAGACTGCAGCTGAATAAATCTACAACATCTCTGTACTTTGCTGTAATACGAACAACCGAAGCTCGCAGCAACCAGCAGAGGTGATATCAGTCAGGCGTCTTACCCTCGCTCCTGGTGGACCATCTCTACCAGGTGATCCAGGACCTCCAGGAACACCCTAAACAGAACACAGACAGATGGGGATAAATTACTATAAAAATACAGACTGAGGTTAACAGACAGTGCAGCCATTACTTAGACGTTTCCTTCAAATTTAAAAGGAGGGAAAAAAAGCAGAATTTGAACTTCTACTGTGAACTTTTTGTGATTGAATTGAAAAGAACATCAAGTGTTTATCATTAAATGACATTTTTTGTCACAGAAACTGAGAGTTCCATGTTAAAATGAGTGGAATTTGTGATTTTAATTTGTGATTTTGTGTCCAGGATCACCGCAGAAATCAATCAGTCCTCAAGATCGGGTTGTCCAACTTGTGAACTCATCTCCTTTATGACTGTACTTACGGTCCTGAACCTGTCATTTGCTGAATCACCTCCACTATAACGAGGACGGTCTTTTTTCATAAACTTTCTCACAGTAATTAAGATACATGTGTGCATTCAACCAAAGGTCAGAACAGCTGAGGGTCTGCGGTCCTGCTCATCGATGCTTTGACTGCAGTGGACATAAATTTGATTTGTGGAAAGAAGCACCTTCCAACCCTCCGGCTGCCGGCGACCCTGCTGCTCCGTCTCCTGCCCCATTTCCCCTCCATCCACCTCGCTGCAGGTCAGCGCACACGGCCGGCTCCAAAACACAGCCACAGATTAAGTGTGGAGCCGATTTATCTCTGCACTTCAGTATTAGTGGAAGGCTCATAAAACAGGACAGTTAACACTGTTAAAGGTTCTACAAATTACAGGACGGGGGCTGCAGAGGACCGGCCTCGTATGATTAATGAGGTGCTGTTGTTCAGATGTTGGCCGATGTTCATTCTCCCAAGACGTCTGCAATAACGTCTCCCCCGTCGCTTTCACTCACATTCCTACAAACCTCAACAAACACACAGAGAGCAGGGAAGTAAGCCTCCGTCTGCACACAGATAATGTATATCATGTCTATATATGACTGGGCGCTAAAGAACTTGAAGTGTAAAGTGAGGATGGGAGGATCTGAAGGGAAAGAATGCAGTCTGGTGGTGAACGTACAGCCGGCGAAGACACAAAATAACAGCTTAAACTCAAACGATCAAGTTTCGATCAGCAGATACTTGAAAATGAGAGAGAAGTATTACTTTTAAATATGAATTTCGTGGATAAGACTGAACCAAGTGACTATCCTCTGCATTGGCGCTGCAATGATTTAAATCTGTAGATGGCTGTTTAAAGTGTACCATTATTATTATTATTATTTATTGTTTGCTTTCCTTCTTTTCACTTTTTTTGTCGTTTCAATTTTATTTATTTACTCAGTTGTTCTCCGTCGTGGGATGTGAGGAGAGGAAACGCTTTGTTAGCTTGACTGATATGATCACTTTTGCGTTAGTTGTGTATAACAGACCGATAAATTGCATTTTTGTATCATAAAAAAAAAAAAGACACTTATTTAAAAAAACTAAAAAATTGATTTGCATGTGCTAAGCTTGTGGGTGACACGCAAACATGAAGCATGAAGGGGTTGGTTGCTTAGTTGTAGAAAACAAGAGTTAGAGAAGAACGACACTGGAAAAAAGTAAGACCAGAGATTTGCTCGCAGAGACAAGACGGTCAGCAACGTCTGTAGCCGAACTCCATATTGAATTAACCGCTATTAGCTGAGGCTGACGTCTTGTATTGCTCTGAGAAACAGTCACAGTCAAGTCCTGAGTTTGGAATTAGGCCGTCAACATGTCAGCGTTTTAAAAAGACGTAACCGTGACAGGGAACCCAAGTCACTTACAAAGTAGCCCTGCCCTGAAACCTCGCCTGCTTTATCATCTATTTTACTGTAAGTGGGTCGATAATTTAGAGAGTTAACATCATGCCGCATTAAAGGAGACGTAAAGCTACAGGTTTATTCTGTAAACTCATTTGGACAATGTTTACTGAGGTAACAAATCAAGAGAGAAATATATAGGGGTCTATATAACCTGGCTTCTTTTTGCAACCAGACCAGTCGCCACCTGCTGGCTGTTAGAGAGAATGCAGGTTTAAGGCAATTCAGTGTTGGACTTTCCAGACTTAGAAGCTACTTCCATCTTTTAAATACAGCCTATGGTTTTGGTCCAACAACATAATCCCAGATTTTTCGAGGCAAAACAGCATCAGACATGTTTCTGAAAGTTTGTTTTAGGAGTCTAAAAACTCCAGAGTAGCGTCAATGCAGAAGGTATATATTAGCGTGGATTTAGCCTCAATTACACACTAATTATGCAATATTCAGTATGCAATGACTATGCATTCAGGTATTTCATTGTTTCTTAATAAATTATTCCTAAAACATGAGACGCATCGAGAATAATGTGAGCGGGAAGGCCAAAGAAATAATCGGAATCCAAGAGGGCAAGTAATTCTGATTCACCACATTAGCCTTGGGATCACTTTGCCGCAGGACGACACACACACACACACACACACACACACACACACACACAGCCCTGAGTTTCTCAGCGAACAGCAGATTAAACCTTGAGGAAGACAGGAAGGGGGAACTATAAGTGGCGACTACATGCATCTGTAGAAGATCCAGCAAGAAGTTTAAATTATTGCCACACACATAAAAAACTACATAACCTCCATCCATCTCGCAGACAAAACAAAAATTATTACTTGATAACACACCCACTGGCTGATAAACAGAATGAAAGTGAGCGATAACACACACACACACACACACACACACACACACGCTTGGCTATTCATTGCAGCCGCATTTTTCACTGTCAAATTGAAACGGAGGTGGAAGGGACGACAAGGTTACGTTGTATTTACTGCAGCGAGAGAGAAACAGGAAAACGGGGGGAAGAGAGGGAGAGTAAGTAATTGATGCTTTAGAGTTGTGAGATTCTCTGTGGTCCCTCGTATATTACAACAGGGCCCTGGAAGCTACAATATTCCCCCACTGAGCCACGCACACATCCATTCATATTCCTCTCTCTGACAAAACACATTATTACTCAGTAACACAGCGCAGCACAGGGCAGCACTGCCAGCTTTTATTAATAGGACTATGCAGGCGCTGGTAGATAGTGCTGCATCAAGGAGCGCCGCAGCTCTCTGCGAACTCCTTCAGAGACTAGTTGTTCTCGCCTCCTGAGAGCATCCACCGTTACTTCCGCTCATAAAAATTAAACAGGTCCAGCAGAGGCAAACATTTTGGAGTGTGGCGAATGGATTGTGGTCTCATCAAAACTCGAAACAAAGGGAAAATTTACAGATTTAAACTGACAAGAGCAGAATAAAAAATAAAAAAACAAACGTCCAAAGGAGCAGCCACGAGGACTGTCAACAGCAAAAACTTTGCAGCTGCTTCTGCCAGTTTATCCGCATCAGCGCTATAATCAACACCTGTCCAATTAAGGCAAATATTATTGTCATTATCATATTTGAAACATTTTCCCTTATAATTAAGACCCTGTTGACTCAGAGGACTTTGGGGAGATAATCAGCACGGCTACCCAGGCATTAAATCAACCCCTGAGCGTGATTAAAGGAGAGAACTGCAGGGACGGCTGAAGGAAATGACCATCCCATCATAGCACGATGTGCACTGAAGCCAGATCGATGGATCAGTTTGACGTGATCAGCGACTGCAGCAGCTTGTGCTCACTGGTGGAGAAAATAAAAAATAACGTCGTTCACTTTCTCAAAATCAAAACTTTTGCCATGTCAGCTCCACGTGAAGAGCTCGACTGCAGCTAAAGTGAATTTAAAATCCACTCATTTTCTACAACGTCGTATCCCCATCAGTTGTAGTGGCTTGTACAATGATACCCTGAATAGAAGAAAGAAGAAACAACAGCTTGCTGCCAGTCCTTCTCAGATCTTATGGAGACAGAAAGCAGGAACACTCACAGAGAAGATCACAACCCCTTTAACTTTCATGCAGTCTCTGGCCCTGCACCTATAAAGCCCTGCACCTCTTTTGAAACAGCGCAGCCTAAAACAAAAGGAATCACTGCATTAAACATTTTACTAAGGGCCCACAGGTGGGACTAATATTTTACTAAATTTTTACAGGCTTTACAAAATAGGTGTTTTTTCTACCACACTGCAGCTCTAAAAAGGTGTTTCACCATGCTGAATGCATCTTACAACAACCTGCTCCTGTGCAGACCGTTTATATGCCATGCTGCATTTATTTTATTGTTCAAACTGGTTCAGTTTTCCTCACAACCTCCCTTTTCATCTCCTCTGTGCTCTGTGGAAGCACCGTCTGCAGTTCACCTGAGGACGCAGTCAGGATACAGGATTTAGTGCAAATGGTTTATTTTTGGTGAAATTTAAGAAGAAAATTTGAGTGATTTTGATGAAATACCACAGGTAGTTTATCCCAACAGAAATGCACATCCACCATGGTATGCTAATGGTATGTCATCCATCCATCCATCATCTATACAACGCTTAATCCTCACCAGGGTCATGGGGGCTGGAGTCTATCCCAGCTGACTCAGGGCGAAGGCAGGTTCACCTGGACAGGTAACCAGTCTATCACAGGGCTACACTTAGAGACAGACAACCAAGCACACTCACATTCACACCTACAGACAATTTAGAATCACCAATTAACCTCAACATGTTTTTGGACCTTGTGGGAGGAAGCCGGAGAACCCGGAGAGAACCCACGCTGCACGGGGAGAAGATTCCGGTGCCCCCACCGTGACGCGAACCGGCGACCTTCTTGCTGCGAGGCAACAGTGCTACCAGCTGCGCCACCCTGCAGCCCAATGGTATGTCAGAAAGTTGAACATCTGATCATTCTTATTGTTTTTTTTTATAGTTTCTGTCATTGATAAATGGTGTAATTTTGCAGATATTTTAGAAGTAAATCAAGCTTTTGAAACCTGCTGGTGGCTTTGGGGTTTCAGAGGGTTAACTGTGAGTTTAGGCGCTAATAAATGATATAAAAAACATTTCTTCCCAAGGGGTTGAGGCACGCACCACATGGCTACTTAACAAAATAAATCTTTAGGAAAATATCACAAGTTACATCATGATATTCCAACTTTTAAAACAGCTGATGCACCCAGATAATGCTGTATGCAGAACAGGGCTAGAGTTCAGCTCCATCCTCAATGGACTCTCCCTGTCAGGAGACTATAAAGGCATTATGGGTGTTCTTTTTCCAGTTCGTAAGTTTGATAGAAGCCACTATTTCTGCTGCGGAGCAGTTAGTGCTGCATCAGGGTCGACTCTGACTCAGTGTGCCCGAGCAGGCAGGAGCTGAAAGAACTTTTAGGGATGCTTCTCTGCCACATTTCTCCTCCTTCAAACAAGAAATTGTCTGCAGGAAAACACACACAAGCAATTCTCATTCAAGCATGTGCACATTATCTGTTATTATTTTAAGCGTAACTGCAACAATGAGCTTGTCAGCCGAGACTGCAAAACTGATTGAGAAGAAATAGGAATATTATCTGGCAGGAAACACTCCGCGACAACAATAAAATTCATTTTGCAGTGTTTTGTGTTGCTGCTGTGAAATCTTCAGTGATGTATTCACTATTTAAGCTCACTAGTTCAGTTGGAAACAAGCTGTCTTCAGTTAATTAGACTGATTAGTTTTCTCCTCTGTGTTTGTTCTGGCGTTGCTGTGAGGACATAAATCTGTTTATACAGTTACATTCTGGAGATTTATCTGCCTTTGGGGGACAAATATTGAGTTTCATGACATAAATAAATAAATTCTGAGGTGAAGGTGTGCTTTAGGGTTGGGCAGGGGTTAAATTGGGGTTTGTGAGGAGGGGAAGTGAGCTCAGGGTCACTGACTGTAGTGTGGAAAGTAGAAATAGGAGCCGTTTCTTCAGCAGTGAAAACGACCCGTTCTGTTCAGTGGACGTGGATTGTCCAGAGTCGCACAATTTCTGTATTAGAAAAGATCTTCTGCAGTTCCGTTTTCTAAATGTCTTTTAAGCTAAACAACAAATTTAGTTCCACCTCCATGGTTTTGGTAAAATTCCCCATGTGGCTTAAAATTAAGTCTATCTAAAAACCCAGATACTAAAAAAAAAAAAAAAAAAAAAAAAGATTTGGTTGATGCAACATTTTAATTGAATTTGAAGAAAAAAAAGTTTACCTCCATGAAAGGACAATAACACAATCCTCCAGACCTAAACTCAAATACAATGCAGTTTGTACAGTAACAGTTTTACAGGATAATAAATAGTTTTAATTATCAGACTGGCTTTCTGTTGCCATATTTTTATTTTTTATTTACGTCAGATAACTTAATGTAATACCTCTCTCACAAAAATTACTGCATTTAAGCTGCAAATCTGAAAATAGCTCACAAACCTTTACAGTGATAACCTGCTTAATGTGCACAACCCCCCAAAAAACACCTACGGTGGTTCTCCAGAGGAAACCGCATTTGGACTTTTGTTGAAAACACATTAAAAAAAGAAGATCCTGAGCATAAAGCGCTTTGATACCAATGATTTGAACTGTGAATTTGTACTTTAGGTTGATAACTTTATGTCAGATCACAATGACAAGTAATGACTCTTCCCACCGATTAATTGAATGCAAGGTAATAATAATAACGATAATAATAATAATAATAATAAATAAAATTGAATTTACTTATTTAGATAAGCCTTTTAAATTGCTAAGATTATTTCGATGGGCTGAGTTGACATAATAATGTTAGTAATTGCATTAACTTCAGAATGTGTGTATTTTAAAGTCATACTTCTGTTTTAAAACTAAATTCAAGTTGAGGAAATTGAATGAAATCGGCTCGATAACTAACTTTTTCTCTTTTTTTCCCCCCTCTCTACCTACTAAATAATAGAACAATTTATTTTCCAAATTTACCAAATTAAAAACCTATGCTCATAATTATGGTAAATAAGTACATAACAACTAAAAAAAATCCTTTTGAATGAAATGAAAATATAACTTGGAGAAACTTAATTTTTTTGAATGAATAATCAGCTCATAACTCAACTTATTTTATGCTGCCAATTACCAATATGTTTGATTCCTCTCACTCAGAGTTCTTATTGGTTTGACATGTTTTCATTAGAAGGTTGATGCAAACTGTTCATTGTTGGATATCAGCAGTTGGACTTGAGCTCTGGTGGGATTCATTTAAAGCAACTTCTACAGTTTAAGTCAGTGTAATGTCCGAGGAAGTGATGGAAACATGGCGGCGCTTGACTGACTCACAAAATGTCTTATTTGTGATTGTAGTTGGGTGACAACACAATTATACAATTCCCCGCACAGACCCGCCCGACTCCAACCTAAGTAAGGCTCTAATTAAGCATAAAGATCGGCAGCTGGTGTGCGGAGCCCTGAAAGTACGAGACAGTCAACGGCCGCTGTTTGCAAAAAGCAATAACTGTGTCTTGCAAGCATGTTCCTACAGAAACATGTTAAAAAATAAAAAAGAATTCCATCACCTCAATTATTCTAATGAGCACATAAATGACAAAATCTTCCTTTAAAAACAATATCTTCCCCCCGGTGCAGAGCCACCGGAGCAGTGACTCTGTCTGTGCTGATATCCAGAGCTCCCAGTAGAGCACCATTAAATTAATTCAGCATTACCTTTGATTGGTTCACTGCCCAATAATGGAGACGCTGGTAATGATTATTCACATCCCAATGATTCCATTAGACTGCTCCCTGTCCACGTGTGTGTGTGTGTGTGTGTGTGTGTGTGTGTTTCGGCAACAAAACACACACACACACTGAACATTTCCATCCATCTCCCTCTCATCATCATCATCATCATCATCGTCTGCCTTAACCTCTCCTCCTCCTCCTTCTCTCTCGCTCCTCTACATCGTGCAGCAAACTCCACATCAGTCTCAATTACAACCATCTGCGGTCTAAAATATTAATAAAACACAAGAAAAAAATAATGAAAAATGGATTGAATTCACAGAAATATGCCTTTATGGTGCAACAAGTCTCCTTCCCGCGAGCCTGCAGGGCACCTCGGTGATAATAGATGTAGAATTAATTTGTATTCTCCACACAAACACACAGAGCAGAACAATTTCTAGACGTGCAGACACGGCTGGGTTTGTTATAACGCAACTCACTTTAGTTCCTTTACTGAAGACAAAACCAGAAGTAGAAACACTGACAGGTTTAGAACTAGTTGCCCCTTTGGGTTGGAATATTGGGACTCGTATCAGCATCACAAACACACACTTCAAAAACTGTGTCTCACCGTCACAATCATTTTTAGGAAATGTTCTTACCATTGGCCCGGCGGGACCGATCTCTCCTCGCTCGCCCTTCTCCCCACCAGCTCCCTGTAAAACAAACAAGTCACTGCATCTCGGTGGGACTCGTGTTCGTCTCGATTGCTACCGAAGGACTGGAAAAGCCAACATCAGTTATCTTAATAAGACGCTGGGCCACCACAAGTCCCCAGAACAGCTTCAGACTGCTTTGGACAAGATCCTACCAATGTCTGGAAGTCTATTTGAGGCATATGTCAACATTTGTCCGTTTATACTGGCAGGCGTTAGACGGCTCAACATAAAGTCCATTCATAGCTGCACACAATTTGTCAACCTACAGGAGGAAGGTAGGAACATAATGGCAACCAGTAACTATGATACCAGCATGATTTAACGTATGGGTGATACTTGGGAATAATAAAACTTTTGGTTCCATATTTGTCTTGAGCAAACATTAGGACCACAGCTGTTTGTTCTAAGAGAGGCGTCATAAATTATTCTCATTTTAATGCTACAGTAAATGTGGAAATTTACAAAATGTGCCACTGAACTCCTCAAAATATGGCAGCCAAGTCTTACCGGGGGTCCCTGAATGGAGAGTCCACTGGGTCCCTGAGGACCAGGGGGTCCTGGTGGCCCAGCAGGACCAGCTTCTCCCACGGGCCCCTGAGGTCCCTGTTAAAACAACACAAGTAGAAGCTTAAGATGACACGGAAGTTTGACCTATTTCAGAGAAAGCTACAAAAAAATCAACTCTAAACCGTGGAGACCCTGAACAGATGCTACTAGCAGATAGTTGGAGGCTCAAAGACTAAAAGAATTTGACTAATCTTCATATAAACGTGACTAAAATGAGCGTATCAAGCATTGTTGGTTCAGCAATGGAAAGTAAACATCCACAGAGTTGGCAAAAGGCTTGAAAATGTCAAATTTCTGCAGGTTTGTGTTTTGCTTGTTCAACAGGTGTTTGAAAAATTGCTCTAGTGAGTCTGTCCTGTGTGATTGTGTTCAGGCTGACGGTTGCCAGGTGTTAAGAATCAGGTTTTAAGAGCAATTATTAATCCACACCACTTTATTTCATATTTACATATTTTAATCCTGCACATCTGAACATATAAAACCGACATGACAGTTCCAAGTCTGAGCTGCAGTTATGCCCAAAATGATTCATATCCGTGTCAAATTGTGGTTGATGGTGGCTGGAAGTAACGTAAAAAAGGACAAAAGACATTAAGACATTGTGTTAGAGATGTTACACATTTATCTACAGATTTAAAACTGTTTTGAAGCTTTTTTGTTTTTCACGTTTTTTACTAAATGTTTGATGTCCAAAATTATTCATACCCCCTTCTCATGGTCACTGTCGGTCTTCATTTGCCTCCACATTAATGAAATAGTTAATAAATCACTAATCGTCTCTCTGCATGTCTTCACTGGGATGTTGCTCCTCTTTGTGATGATCTCCAGCTTTTTTTTTTTTAGCTTGGAGGCTTCTTCTCCATCACTCTTCTCAGTGGATTCAGCTCTGGACTCTGGCTGGGCCACTCAAACATCTTCAAGTGTTGGGGTTCTAGCTGAGTTGGGCAGTTTAATGGCTTGTTTGTTATGCTGTGATGTGCTGTGCATGTTTTTTCAGGCTGGGCGAGGCCGTGGCCGAGGAGGACTCACTCGCTAATTCACCTCACCTGCCTCCTGTTGCAAGTTTCTCCCCGCAATGCAGTGTCAGACGATTCACTCTGCTTCGAGCGGTAGATCGGCCAAAGAACAGTTCTCTAGATCTCGAGTTGTTGTTTGTTTCTGGTTGTTGTACTGTTCTTCTCGTTTCCTTCGCCTACCCTAGAGCCTCCTCTCCAGCCCTGCCACCACCAATCAGCCACCAGCCGCAGCACTCCGGTTCGCATTCACGGGTTTCTGAGCACTTTTCCCCTGGAGCATGGACTTCCCCCGCACTGGACCACTTCCCTGGAGTCCCTGGATCCCCCCTCACCTCCTCCACTGAAGGACCTACGAGCACCAGCACTCCTCTACCCCCCACCTCCTCGGTGTCCCACAATAAACCTTTTTGTTCCTCTGTTGCATTCTAACACACATCAGGAGTATCTCCTATCATCAAGCTGTTTTCTGTCTACCATTCCTTGGCCACATCAGCTTTATGTTTTAGATCATTGTTGCCCGAGGATGAGTTTCTCTTCAGACTGCGTGATGTTTTCCTGCAGAATCTTTCTCTCATGATGCTGTTTACTTGGACATGGTTGGCTGATCCTAAACCATCACATTCCCACCACCGTGTTTGACTGAAGGGATGCTGTTCTTAGGGTTGAATGCGTCTCCTTTCTTTAAATCCAAACAACATCTCATCCCACCACATAACCGATGAGCAGCAGCTTTCTTCTTCGTCCAGCTGAGCTTTTGTGTGTCTGTATTGAAGAGGTGGAGTCCTAGCCGGAGTCCCACCAGCCTTGTTCAGGGTCTGCTTTGAGATGTTGACACCAGAATTGCTCAGATTCATCAGGATGATTCTTGGATGATCACTTTTGTCCACCTATCCACTTCTTCTGAGATGTTTCACAGTGGGGAACTCCTTGTACTTTTTAGATTATACTTTGCACTGTGAACACCGGTATTTGAAAACACCTGGATATGACTTTATAAGCGTTCCCTGTCTTTTGAAAAGCCACAAGGCACAATTTTCTCTCAGCGAGGGTCCATAATAGCAGCTCACTGAGCTCTTTGCTTTGACTTGCAATCGACTAATAACCGACAGAAGAACTGCTACATCAGCTGTTCTCACTTTATAATGCATTAGAACGTTCTAGAACATGGTAGAAATGATCAGGACCTTTTGTAAAGGTGTAAAAGCTGCATTTTCTATAAGATTGGTGGTCATTTTAATAACAATAATTCTGGACATGGTCTTTTCTAGCAAAAATGAAAAAAAAAAAGTCAGACTTCATCATTAACATCTCTTTCACAAGGTCTTACAGTCTTTGGTGACTTTTTATGTCATTTCAAGCCACAAGAAACCTGCTGATATAGAAAAAATTGGGTATAAATCCCTCTTATAACCACAATAATCCTCTTGTTTTGTCTGTGACAGCACTGCTTAAATACCACAGGTAACGAATGTGTGGTCGTTTTCTGAAACCCAGCATCTCCTCAACATAACGTCCGTCAAGTTAAAGCTACGACCTCCGTTCAGCATTGTCACTACATGCTTGGGAGGGCTTCTGCTCCCACTTCTACAACCAGATCCACCACAGGAAACAGCTAGACACTTGTCCATCCATCTGTAATCGGGTCGTGTCGGCGCGACGGCTCGTTTGATTCATGCGTACGAGCTGCAGACGAAGTTCCTGCAATGGGAGTCGGAGCAGAGAAATTCCTGCAAACCGCCGCTGACTCGTAGCCATTTGTAGCTTGTTGGCTCAGCGGCAGCAGTAGCCAAAGTAATCTTCACTCCGGCTGTGTTTATTGTTTTACTGTTCAACCTTGCAGTTACTGGGTTCATGTCTTCCTTATCCGCGCAAACAATCAAAAAGAAACCACGGATCAGATGTACATGAATGGAAAAGGAATAAAAACAAGCAGAGGACTTAAACGTGTTATGTCATATTTAACTGAATATCATGAAAACATGGTGCCAGACTACCTGAAGAGTTGCCTCTGCTGAAAGATGACTGAAATTGAAATTACTTCAAGGGTTGCTTTGATAACGGAACCATTTATTTTTCCATTTACCAGCGCGTTCTGTAATAAATAAACAAAAAACTGACTGGTGACAACGAATAAGGATGAGATCATGAAGGAGTTTGCCTTAGACGACAGCATAATTCAGTCATTTAACAACACTGGATGAAGCTGCAGATGTAGGAACACTGGTGAACATGTATTAATGCACTGTACTGTACGGTGTGCGCCAGCAGCGCAAACCACATCGCACTTCAAAACTTAACACAACTACAGCGATCAAACACAAACACACATCATCTGCGCTGGAAAAGCTTCACTTGACCCGGTCTTTGCTTCCTTCTTGGGAATTTTCGAGCAGAATGTGCTAAGATTTAAGTTCTGGGTGGGCCCACTTCACGCACTGCACTACTGTCACTCAACAGGGCCAAAGCGGGACATATGGTCGAGATAAACAACCTTATTTTCTTGATCGACAGCCCCCGAATGTGTGAGCAGAAGTGGCAGGACCCATGCTGCTTCTTTCAAAAGAGGGAAAAGCTTCAAAACATTTTTCAAATCTAAGATTACTTTCATGGGAACTGAGTATTGGTATTGGAGAAATTTCCAACTGTATCGGGCCTTGTGCTGCCTGCCGCAGCTGGACGGCTCGGCACAGTTTGGAACAGGCTGCCATTGCAAAACTATAGCAGATGCAAACGCCGCAGTAAATCTTTCACCATTAGTCCACGACAGGATTTGTTGGAATACTATGTTTTGAAGGCAGGATAGTGGCGATCAGAGCCTGGTTGAAGCCTGGAGCCAAAAAGAAGAAAACTAATATGAGCTCCTTTTAGGCCAAAGATCCTTCACATCCAGCCTTTCCAGGGACTTTTTTTTAATTGTTATACAGGGAATATGCACGTTTTGTCCTTCGATGTAAAGACGAAGACCAGCAAGTGCAGATTACGAGCAAAATGAACAAACGAGGCTTGCAGGCTGCCCGTTACTTCTATTGATTGGGGTGAGATGTGCTCATTGTGAAGTTAGTTCAGTCTGACTGAACTCTGACTGGTGGAATCATGAGGCCCTGCTCCAAGGGTTACGATTGAGGTCTCATCCGAGAAATATTGATTTTTCAAGGTTCATTTTATTCATAAATTCATGAAAATTATGCTAGCTCTCCTGGTTGATGCTGACAGCCATACCCGCAATATTTCACACTTGCTTCTTGCCACAGCGAGCACCAAAGTTTTTGCCTGGTTCAGTCCAGTCTCGACGGCTCCTAGGGTGACTCTACTTCCCCCGGCCTGGACCATGCTACATCACGGCGCCTCCACCACGTGAAAAATACAACTCATGAAGAATAAAGCGGCATGAGGATTTAAGTGCTTTTTACAAACCATCACTCCTGGCTCTCCTCGGTCTCCTCTGGCTCCTCTTATGCCCGGACCGCCCTGAAACACAGACCGAAAACATGCTGTTACAATCGAACACGGCGAACGTTTGTAATGCGCCTATAAAAAGAATAAGAGCCGAGACGCAAGCTGCTACAAAATACCTTAAACTCAAACATGAAAATTGGGGTGCATGTTGAAAAGTCTCATAAAAGTGGAGCTCCACATGTCTTGGATTATGGATTATGAATATGTTGGGTGGAGGCCAGCGCTGATGGCTGCTGTAAACTGCCCCTTTGAGCTCCTATTTTATTACTCTGCATCTGTGACTAACAGCGGGGGACTGGAGCTGTAAACCTCGGGCTGACCCCTCCAGCCCCGAGGTTTATCCGGGGACAAACACCACACATCTGCTAATCATTGGCCCATTTGGGACATATCCTCTTCCTGTGTTTGCTTAAATAGGCCTCCCCTGGGAACCGAGGGGCAACTAGGTAGTTCCTAAAGTGTTTAGCCAGAGGGGACAGGAGGGGAGGACGACGAGAGGAGACATGCAGATGTGGTGAAACAAGAGGTCACCATGGATTGTATAGCATGAGTTTGTTTTCTTGTTTTACCGTTTACTGGTGTCATTTTCTTTTTTTTCTTAATTCAAACCAATGAAAACTCAAAACCTACCAAACTGCTGAGCAAAGTCTGAAGTTTGCTGGTTTGCGTCACCGCTCAGGAGTCATTAGCTCCCTCCGTTTCATAAGATCTGAATAAAACAGCTTACCGAGCAAATCTGTCGCCCTGACTGAACACAACATTTATTGGTATTGGTTGAAATCCATTAAGCACCTAAAACTGATGTCAATCCTCTGAACCCCTAAAACAGCAGGAAGGTTTGAAAGGCATGTTATCTTTAAAAAGAAAAAAAAAACACCTAAATTACCCCATTTATCAGAGCCACAAACTGTAGAAACACTAAGAGTCGTCCGATTTAACATTTTCTGATGGTCCTTGAACTAATCATCAGTGACGTGCCATTTTATCAGGACTCTTTACCTTAAAATTGATATCTCTTTTAAAAACGGCCAAAAATAAATTGCTTGCTCTAACCAGAAAAACTCTACACCCCTCAACACAACCATCAGACTGTGAATGACTCAGCTGTGACCAACAGTCACGTGATAGAAAAGTCTGAACTTTTCAGCTAAACTGGGCTGAACTGCAGAGCAGACAGAAGCAGAGAAATGAGAACAAATTAAAAATGCATGCAGTGAAACACCTTCAGCATGTGCAGCCACCATTTTTTTCTGGTATTTTTCAACACCTGTGGTCACTAAAAGAATTTCTTTACATGTTGATTTCAGGTTTTGACAGTTTTTGTTTTAATTTTAGTGTGAAATCCACATGGACACCTTAATGATTCTTCCCAGAACTGAGTCAGAATGAAACCAAAGCCAATGTAATGCCTCAGAAGTCTTAGTTATCCAAATTAGAAGAGTGTCTTCCAATTTTACGGCGTTTTAGTACAATATTCCCTTTTTGTTTTTCCCTGGACAGACTGTTTTCTAGCTGTGGAGGAACAGTGGTAGTAGTGAGTGTTTTTCTAGACCTTATTAACAATTTTACAAAGCTCATAGAAATGAATAACAATAAGACATTAAATGAGAACAAATGAAAAAATAACCTAAAAGGTGTCAGCTGAAGCTTCAGCTTGTTATACTTTCTCATAGGGAACCCTTTCACAACTGGGTTTAGGCAAAAACAACGACAGAACAAAACACATATGCACAATAATGACCTCACCTTAGTTTAATATCTGTCGGTGAAACTATTTTTAAACTACATTTAAAGTTTGCAAGGTGGACTACACATTCCTACTTCATGGTAGATGGAGAATGTTTGTTGTGCACAAAAAGCCAATAATAAAGAACCTGAAGATGACGGCCAATATGAAGATGCCCACAGAATGCAGACAGCTGAGCCGAACTGCATTTTTGCACAAAACAAGGTGGAATTTGTCACTTAAGAACTTGCCAGTGTGCAGAGAGAAGATGAACACAGTGATAAATGACTCTTTCAATATGTATGTTGGACTTTAAATAGTCTTGGAAAAGGTATTGAAACATGTCAGCATTCAAAAGGCAGATTCTGCTCATAAAATGTTCTTTTACAGAACTAATACAACAACTGTGCCTTTCTAATTAACATTTGGCAAGGAAAAAAACAAAAGATGATTGATCACGCTCTTCAATTCAGCAATTTGTCTCTTTTGTTTTTAATGGATCCTTCCAAATAATGTGAGTTTGAAGCTCAGCAGAACCTGCAGAGAAACTAAAATTAATGCCCAACAGCAGCAATCCAAATAATTATGTCTGCTTTTTTTTCTATGGAATGGAAAACTATTATGCTTTAACCAAGCAATTTGATGCAAACAGCAAATTTACGTTTTCCAAATAATACTTGGATCTAAAACAGCATGTTCGGTTTTAACAGGCGGAGCTGAGCATGTCTGGTTCCCACTAACGTCGGATTGATTGTTGACTGATGTTCGGTATTGAGCTGCGTCGGTGCCGGATCAGGCGGCACAGATTGCAATTCACTTGAGGCAATCAATACTGTTTGAGACATAGAAAAGCGAAGAGGTCTGCTGCTGTGCGAGACAGGAAAAGACACAAATCTGACGGTGAAAGCAAACACAGAAATTACTCTCAGGGAGAAGCAACATTGTTTTGAATGATTACCTCCGTCATTGTGCGTAGTGGAGATAAAAAAACAACAACAACAACAACAAAAAAGCGTGGCGTCTCGTCTGTGTGAGTTACACAATAGATAAACTTATTCAATTTATTACGAAAACTTTAGAAGAATTCATCTTCAGTGAAGGAATGTTTTGATTTTAAACAAAGGTGAACTGCAACAGCTTACTGGCCCTCAGCTATTGACTGAGTGAATTCAGTGCCTTTGCTTTTAATCTCTAATTGTGATCATTGTTAGAGCTAGCCAACACCATGTATCTCGTGTTTTGAATTCTTTATTTCAAGGAAGAACACAATATCATAACATTTTTTTTAGGTTTTTACAAGTTTATGATTGGCATTATGAGTGAACTTAACAAGTGTAAAAATTGGGATTAAGAAAGTCATAGTGCTTTTTTTATTATCCATTTTTTGTGTGTTATAAATGACACAACTTAACCTAACGAGTATCAACATTAAGGCTGAGACTTTACAGTTTTATAAATGACACAACTTAGCCTAACTAGTATCAACATTAAGGCTAAGACCCTACAGTTTTATAAATGACACAACTTAACCTAACTAGTATCAACATTAAGGCTAAGACCCTACAGTTTTATAAATGACACAACTTAACCTAACTAGTATAAATATTAAGGCTAAGACCCTACAGCATTAATTATGCAGATTAGCTAAAGTTGTGACGCTACAAAAATATAAATGAGAATCCAACAAATCAGATTTCCTGGATCCCAGATAAGCAAGCTTAAGTTCTATTTATTTGTTGATTAATATTTATTTTATGTGTGCTGTTGTTTAGGGGAGATTGATTGGAATCTGGCAATATTAAAACCACGATGGTGCGATACTCTACGACTGAAAATATGCTCTTAGCGCCTACGTAAATGAATGTCATTCTTTAAGTGTTCACATATGGTAGCCTGCTTGCAGAGATGAAAAAGTAGACAAATGTTTGTCCATCCCACCTAAAAAGAAGGTGGAGGCCCTCCAGAGTGGAGCTGCACTGCTTCCTTCAAGCACTCGTCTTTTTCATCACAACTTTTTATTGATTGCAATGAAAGCAAATCCATTATTTTGTGTTTGTTTCTCATACAAGCGGAATGCAATGTCAGAGGTATGTTGGAGACGATGCAGCAGTGAAATTGGCTGTAAAAAAAAATGAGATCACTCGCTGCACAGAGAAAAAACTAGCATCACTGTAAAGGCCGAGTTGTGCTTGTTATGTTGATGTGAAGCAGGCCGACGTTATATGACACACTGGAGACCTTGTGACTTATTGAACTGAGAAGCAGGAGTGTGAAAATGGGGGAAGATTATTTTTCCATCAGTATGTACAAATATTTAACAAGCAGAGCTAAAAAAAAAAAAAAAAAGCTCTTTATAGTGAAGCAATAATAACATTTGCACTGCATTGATATCTGGTTATTAACATATCTATGCAATGACAACTTTGTGAGTAATCCAAGTAGTACTAACAGGTGTGGAGATGGATGCACAGCTTAATTTGATATAAATTCTAATTTATTTTTTAGTTTAGTCCTGATGGAAAGGTCAAGTCATGTGGTTTCATTCCATATGTGCATCACCTCACAGCAATAAATACGACTCGACCTGAGACGACTGGATGTGAACTTGTTGAGCTTTAATCTGTGTTTGATGTCTTATTTGCCTTCCAGGTGTCTTGTCATGGCAGTTTGCTGCATGAGGTTTTCCCCCACAGATCCGTTATTCACACTTTCTGGTTTCACAGTGACCAAAGACGCAGCAGCACAACAGCAACAACCTCAGTACACATCCACTGTTTGTAGTAAAACTCTGTCTGCTAGGATCCTGAAAGTTTTCCTGTCAGTAGGAAGCCTGTCTTCCACTGGGGATAACACGCACATTTGTTGTAGTGTAACAACCATTATATTGTTTTAACGAGGGGAATGGCACTGCCTTTTCATTCTCCCTCCAAATCCCACTGACTTGAGTGTGCAGTTTTAGCACAAAAGCTGCTATGATTTTGCCATTAAACCGTTCATCTACGCCCATATGCTGCAGTTAAAATGTGATTTAAGAAGCCCATTCAATGCCAGAGAGATTAACAGACACAGACAGAGCGACAGACACTGGCGCAGAGAGGCATAATGTGATAATAAAACGAGAGAAGAGCCTCGAGCTCTGGGATGACAGTAAGGTAAGAGAAAAAAAAAAAGGAGGAAGAGAAAAACAATGAAAAGCTGAAAGCTAAGCTATTTGCTATGCTATATTGATCTCCGCTTTCAAAAGGAGAGGAGACAGATGGAGGCGACAGATATTGTGCAGAGAAAACATGACAGAGAACAATAGAATTGTCAAATCAAGTCAGTTTAGGAGGAACAGATGTTGACTAAAGTGCTGTAGAGCAAGAAGAACAACAGAAAAAACAATAAATCGGTAAAAACAGCACAGGTGAAACCTTGATATCTAAAAATCTAAAATGCCATGGAATAAAAATAGGTTTTTTGAATGGGGTTTCAAATGTCCAGTGTTGGTGGCCTCCACAGTTTAGGAGCAGCTACTGCAAAGCCCTGATCTCCTCTGGGTTTTAATATAGACCTGGACCTGAACCAGTCGGCAGACCTCAGTGATCTCGTGGGATTGTGCAGAATTAAAAGATCAGAGAGGTAAGGAGACGCGAACCCGTTTAATGACTTAAAAACAAACAACAAGATCTGAAAAATCAATTCCAATTCTAACTGGGAGCCAGTGCAAAGGAGCCAATATAGCTGAAATGTGGTCTTGCATGCGTTTTCCTATTAGCAGTCGAGCTGCAGCATTTCGGTCCAGCTGCAGGCAAGAAAGCAGAGACAGGCTGAGTAAAGGCTGCTGCAGCTGAGCCTGGATGAGATAAAGGTGTGGAGCAACTTCTAGAAGTTAGTTAAGGTGAGAAAACGCTTGACCTTTGAAGAACCCTCAGCTGGAAGAAGCTAGCTGCATTTATTTCCTTGTCAACATAGTTGTCACAGGTCAGGTTTTATAAAGGGCTTATTGTAGATACACAGAAGTTGTCACTCAGAGCGTCCTGCAGGTCAGCGGCTCTGAAGATTGTAACCTCGTCTTTATGGTGAAACTGTATGGACATTTAGGGTTTTATTCCAGTAAGGCCATAAATGCAAAACTTGTAATTCAATCATTTTTTTCTCATAAAGGATGCTTCTGACTAGCACCATACTCAACATTTTTAAAGCTCCTATTAATCACAGGGGGGGGGGGGAAATGCATCTTAGGGTGAAAAATAAAGGTTTTATGCTTGGTGGAATATGGCAGTAGACAGAAACATGGACATTTTTTTGCCCAAATTTGCACCATCATATAACTGATGTGCATTATTCTATCAAAGCAGAGTTGTACCATTAAATAGCATATGTAGATATCAATGAGCCTGCAAGATTCCAGGGGCCTCATTTGTCATATGCACAGATATGTGCGTACACACTGATGATAAATGTACTTGTACTTAGGAATGTACGTAAACATATGCACACCTCTGACCATGCGTAGGCACATAATCTAGCGGTAGAACAGTGAAACTACAAATAGAAAGCATTCTGGGATTTTGACCACCGACACATTCCAGCGTGAGGTTGGAGACATATGCGGCGTTTCCAGCCACTACTGAGCAGGATCAAGCCGGCAGTGTTGGACGCCATAACTCCCCTGGCTCCAGCCTACATCCAGCTCCCGTACAGCCATCACCGATGAGCCCAAATCAAACGGGGACTTAACGCCGTCGCTGGATTCCCAAGTGGAGCCATAGACTGCACCCACATCACAATCAAAGCAGCATCACTAAATGAGCTTAATTTTGTTAAAAGGGTTTCATTCAATCAACGTACTGATAATTTGCGATGCACATTTGTCGCTATCAAACGTTGTTGCCCAGCGGCTTGGAGGAACACGACTCATTCATTGAGCAGAACAGCTCTGTGGGTCTCCAAGCAGGAAGACGGCTGGCTTATTGGTGAGTGTCAGAGTGTGGAGATGTTTCAGCTGGACTTAGTTTGGTTATTACAACATGTCATCTGTAGTGATCAGGGGTATCCGCTGGGTGAACGTTGGGTATTAATTCGTCCTCCTCTAGTTGCATCATTTCTCTTTACTGGGCTGTGACGCGTTTTTTGGCGCTGAGCTTAACGTCAAACCATTTTTTTGCCGGCGATCTCTCCTCTGACCAACAGAAATAACTGCAGTGGTTATCTTGTCCCATGCAGCATTTTTTCTTTCACTGCTTATCCCAACATTTCAGGCACCAAACTAAACTTTCTGGTTTGCTTCAACCTCGCTGACAAGTACCACGATTATTACCTCCTTATGTGGACCTCGTGGCTCTTTTGAACTAAAACCTTTCCTCGTACATCACAGGAGCAAAACTGTGTTTGTTTCTAAATAAAATTATGTTTCTTTCAAAAAAAAAAAATGCATAAAGAATGCAGTTTGGTTCTATGGGTATTAGTATGAAGTAAGAGATGATTAAAAGTGCAGGCGAGGTGTTCTGATGTTCCTAAAAATCTGGCTGAAAAACAGCATTTTCTTTTAAAATGGATTGGAGTTGATGGAAAACAACTTTCTCCAGGAACTTTGAAACAAAAAGCCATGTAGAAATCAATCTGAAATTAGAGAGAACTGTGGGATGGAGGTTGGCTTTTAATTAAAGGCGTGTTGAAAACCAGCAGGAACAGACACAGCCAGACAACAGCTATTAATAATGCACACAAGTGTTGCTGTCTGCTCTCTGAAAAGTTCTTCAGCCTCTTTAATATGCCCATTTTTTTTTTCTAAAACAAGTGAAAAGACAAGAAAATCAGATCAAATCCAATACTGTAATCTATTCTTCTGTTTTGGAAAAAGGAGCATTAAAGGCTAAAATAAAGAGACAGAAGGGAGGCCAGTGACCCGTGGACACGCTACAGATGAAGAAGCAGATATGGCTTGTTGGACAGGGGGAGGAAAATTGGTAGAATTGTAATCAGCTGTGATAAATGGAATGGGCCCATAATTACTTTCTCAAACTACACCGGTGTTGAGCTACAGCCCTCTGTTCTCCTCCCCTCAGTATTCAGAGGCGCAGACAAAGACGGAGCGAGAAAACACAAGAAGGGAGAGAAAACGAAAGTGATGGAGAGAGAAGAGGGGAAAGAAAAGAAGATGGAATAAAGACTAAAAGTCTCGGGCTGTAAATGAGCTCATTTACTCGCTCTCATCTCACAAGTTCTTTCAGGTTTAAGCTGCCGCGGCTGCTCAACATGCACATCATTACTCTCTCTAACATGCAGCCTCCTCAGTGACAACAGAGAAAGATTTGTGATTTTTCTTTTTTCCTTGAGAGGGAGATTCTAAAATGTATTGAGCTGGTCAGTGGACAAAAAGCCTCCTTACAACGCAGGGATGACAAATAATTGACTGTAAATGAACTTTTTTTGTGTGTTGTTTTGACACAATGGTCCTTTTTGGGATGTTGGAAACTTTGTGGTGATGGTTGTGTATGATTTACATTTTGGCAAAATGTCCCCACTGTGGGATTTATAAAGGCTTATATCTAGATCTTAAACTCTGAATAAAATGTTTGTGTTTTTATATTTGGTGGGTCAACCTGCCTCAAAATTGCCCCCTAAGGAAAGCACTGAATTGCATTGCACTGATTTAAATTGAATTAATTGACACTTAACATTCACTTTATTATAAGCACGTCTTTGTGACTTTAGCATTTATTAGCTTTTTGAACATTTGCTACTGAAACTTTTTCCGGGACTTTTTGGACACGGCGGTCCTTTGTGATGCTGTTGGTTGGTTACGGTCGTGGATTAAATGGAGCTTCGCGTTAGTTCAGACAGGCACGGAGTCAGGCGGTCACATGGCCCCTCCTGGCCAATCGTCATCGCCAAAGTCCAGCCCACCCGCTTAGCTGCTTTATAACTGAGGCAGCGTTCATTCATTCTGCCCGCTTCACGCTCACCACATCGCTGCTACTCCAGCCTCTGCAGATCATCAAATCTCCTCCTCCTCCCCAACCACCACCTTTTAAAAACAGTTCAATCTCATATAACCCCAGTTGTTTCCCATATCGTGGGATTGTAGGTTGCAGATGGTTCATTATTGTACCTTGAACTATGTAATCTAGAAGTGAAGACTATTTAGTTGGTCTCCTGTTCTCGTGTTCATACTGTATTCGAAAAATTGTGAATTGTAAATTCATGGCTCTGCGGGGGTTTGTGATCTCAGGGATTATCTGCTTGTTCAGATCGTTCCAGAGCATCACGAGCAGAGTCACTGCCAAACTAAATGTATGTGATCTCAAATAAATGGTTAAATCTGACAAAGTGTCCTGTCTGAACTGGTACAATTTACATCATCATGCTGTGTATTTATCCAGATTTCCTCACTGTAGCCTGTTTGTGTGAATCAGCTGTTTGTGTTTTTATATTTGGTTGGCCAACCTGAGGAAAAGAAATGAACTGATTTAAATTGAATTAACTTCACACTTAACATTCACTGTATAATAAGCTGCCAGAACGTCGAAGACTTTTTAGACCACAGTGGTCCGTTGTGATGTTAATAACTATTGGTTGTTTACGGCCACTACAATCATGTTTCACATTTATGCAAAGCGTCCCCACTGCGGGATTAATAAAGGCTTATCTTATCTTTAGATAGCTTTTATATGTGCATAAACTGTTTGTGTTTTTAAGTTTGCTAGGTCGACTCATCTTGAAATTGCCTCTTAAGAAAAAAGCACTGCATTGAATCAAACTGATTTATATTGAATAAACTTCACATTTAACATTCACTTTATAATTAGCTGCTGAAACATCTGTGTGACTTGAGCATTTAGCGGCATTTTTAACATTTACTACACTTCAGCACACTTTTTTGTGACTTCTGTCGAGAGCTCTTTTTCACTCAAAGACTAACTGACAAGAGAAAAGGCAAAATCAGCAGTTAGAAAGCATTAATAAGCGCACTGAGGTATGAAAACCAGCTTCTAGGTAGGAAGTAAGCAGAGAGGGAAGGAAACATCTTAAGAAAGACAGTCACAGTTCTTCTACTGGGTTGAGCATGAGAGAACACACACACATGAAGGAATAAATGAGTTTAAATGTTCTTACGGGGGGTCCGGAGGGTCCTGGAGGTCCTTTGCTGTCCTGGGAGCAGGTGCAGGCGTGAGGCATGGAGGGACACTGCTCCTCCACTCTCTGGAAACACAACGCAGAGAGAGCGCGAGGTTCACTTCCAACCAGACACGAGCAAAATCTCACGTAAATGTGCCTCGAGTGAAACAGCTAGAGGCAGTAAAACATGTCCGGCCGACTTTTCTGAGCTCTATTACATTTACAGCACAGTGTTTGTTTGGTCCCCTTGACTACTCTTACAGCGGTTTGATCATTGCAATTAACTCGCAGCATAACTTTTAGTTCTTTGGTCGGTGCGCAGCAGTCGAGCTCAGCGTGCAATAAATGTGTATTATTTTTACAGAGAAGCACATTATTCATCATATAAGGAATTAAGCTTTTAATTATGAATGAAAAATGAATTAAAATCTACACTGGTTGATATTGTTCTTCAAAAGGAAGCTTCATAGACAAATTGCAGGCGTATGAAACTGAACACAGCCTCAGAAATCACTACAAATTGTCTCAGAGCATCAACAATAACTGAACATAACGAGAAGATGCTTAATTATCCTGGTTTTAACCACATTGTACACGTGTGTAATTAACTGAATGTATCTGTTAGCTTTATGTTTTATGAATAGGGTACTAATTGATAATTGGTGTGCATAAAGGCACAGTCCCGCTGGACTTTCATATTAATTATTTTTCTTACTTTTATGCAGCTCATTAGGCAAATTTCTATCACATTAAATGAAATGAATTTAAGAAGTAATTTGGCTTTTGGCTTCTGCCTTCATCATGATTCCGTCTGAGTGCAACTACAGTTATCAGTCGAGATATTTCAGGTTGTAATGTTCAGAGAAATGAAGTAATGCACTCGAGAGGAGAGAAAAGGTAGAAAATGATGTTTTAATGTGTGCACGAATGAGAAAGTAAAGGCTCGGCCTGCACGATGCATCGCTTCAGTGTCGACGTTGCAATGTGCAAAATAAGGCAGATTAACTCAATAACATCATGCTACAACTTTGTTTACTGCCTGTTACCAAAAGAAACCCTCACACAGCTCTTATCTTTGACATACACAGCTTTTTAAAACTTTATTTAAAAGACACAGTTCGTTGGCATGCAGCCGCCACATCTGCACAACAAAGATGAACCAGAAACAGAAGAGAAACTCTAAAGAGGAAGACTTGTTTGCAAAAAGAAATGCAACGTCAGTTGTATTTGAATATTTCAGCTAAAGAAAGGGTGACGACTAAAATCAGCTTCTGGGCGGCTGTGGCTCCGGTGGTAGAGCCAATCAGTTAATGATCGGAAGGTCGGCGGTTCGACTCCGCCCTTTAATTCAATTCAATTCAATTCAATTCAATTTTTGACCTTTTTTAACCTGCGTCATGGTCGTCGTGTCCTTCGGTAAGACACTTAACCCATCTTGCCTGGTGTGAATGCGTATGAATGGATTGTTTGAGGTGGTGGTCAGAGGGGCCGTAGGGGCAGAATGGCAGCCACGCCTCTGTCAGTTTGCCCCAGGGCAGCTGTGGCTACAATCATAGCTGCCACCACCAGAATGAACGTGTGTGAATGAATGTTTGCCAGTGTAAAGCGTCCTTGAGTTAGAAAAGCGCTGTTTAAATCTGATCGATTATTGTTAGCTTCTCTATCAGTTGTTGCCACGACAGGAGGCAACATTTTTTAATCTATGGTATTGAACAGAGAACCTGGAAGTTAAACTTCTCTTAGGGTTCAAGGTATGAATAAAGTAAACTGGCACCACAAAGTTCTGTATGACGAGTGCAAAGGCAGATATGAGAGACATCCAAAGCAATGGATTCCTGTTTTTCTTTGCCAGCATTGCATCATACGACAGACATGATGCAAAATAACACAGTTAAAAAACAGGGTTTTAAAAACAAGATCTGTTTACTTGACAGGCAGTGTGTAACACCGTCACACACCTGTTCTTCTGAGGCTACCGTCCCAGAGATGTATGAAAAATGCAAGGCACAAGTTGAAACAGAGTTTTTGCAAGTAAATTATTACGCAGCTACGACAGATTTGTGGTGAAGACAGACAGAAGAAACCTACAGACTGTCTACTTTATTAATGACGACTTCCATCTGAACAGTCACTGTTTGCAAAACTGCATTTCTCCTGAATGATCATATAATTTAGAACATCCCAACAGGGATTAGAGAAGCTCATCAGCAGAAGTTGGCTGCTTGAGAGACTCTGTGTAACAGACAATGTGGGGAAGACGGTGAAGGCTGCAGTACTTTGGCCACAGATTGCATCTCTCAACTGGTAAATTATAGCTGTTTTTTTTTTTTTTTGTCATCACAATATATATGCCAGAGAAACAAAATGCCACTGTGTCCGTTTGTCTCCCAATATCGTGCAGCTCTTGTGTAGACATGTGTTAGTATCTTACCAATGCTGGCAGCTCACAGCACTTATCTCTGCTGGCCCAGGATGTACTGCAGATGATGTCAAACATCTGGAGCTGGAACTGCAAACACACACACACACACACACACACACATGCATGCATGAGTACACACCCGAGCAACACCCATTAATGCTGCAATTTGAATATTATCAGTTAACTCCAAATTTAACAGAGAGCAACATTACAAATGGAATGTCAGCCGTCATATTTTGTAATTTTGTTGTTTCTGTGTCAACGAGAAACCAGAAGACAGACTGTTTGGCTGAAATGCGCTGGAAGATGGATACACAAAGTCTGGCTGATAGCTTTAGTAAACACAAAATGAATGTTGTGGAGGCTGCGCTCGCCTCAGACTATAAATGAGGTCACGGGCTTATGTCTGGTTACGTTTAGCATCAAACCTGCAGAGGAGTCCTGCTGATGGACGCTGTTTATTTTATGAGAGGGGCAGTTTGGAGCGTTTACATTCTAACCATCCAGAAAATAGACGGAATCCCGACCGTCAACAAAGATCTGTGTTAAACTTAACACATGAACAATAAGTACATCAGAGACACAACCTAAACTGTGGAAAAGTCCCTCTTAGACCAAATTACGCTGTTTAATCTACTGGACAGACACGAACACACGACTGCAGACTTGGATGAGATTTTGTCTGCAAGTGGAAAACTGTGATGATGTTTTGTTTTTCTTTCTGTTACTGTCTAATCAGTACTTTATTTATGCTGCAGGGATTTGCTCATAGACTGTATAAAAGATGGACGTAGCTACCGTGACGTTGGTTTCTGCACTGAGAACATGAAGCCAGGGTTTTGCTACTTCCTGGTTGACATCTTGGATTTTTAGAGCCAGTGACGTCGGAGGGGGGCGGAGCCATAGGAGCAGCGATTGGTCAGATGGATTGAGAGGCGGGCCCTCTCTGCCCCGCCCACATTTACCGCCTTCTGCTCGCTTAGTCTGTATGGTCGCTGCCGACTGTCATTCAAGCCAGCCACGCTCCTTGCCCCGCAAAATGTTGACGATTTTTTAAAAATTCAGTATTGATTTATTTTCAGATTGGCCACCTGATCTCTGGACTTGACCATGAAAACTAATTTAAAAAAAATCCTGAGCTGTAGGAATGCGATATTTCATGATCTGTGATCACTTCTTTTCCAATTCCTGTCTATGGGAGCCAGGGCTTTGTGGAGCCAGCAGCTAGTGGACGTAGTGATATTGCAGGTTTTTGACACTTCCGGGTTGGGTTCATTTTTCAGGGCTGGTTGCTTCGTCCATCTTTTATACAGTCTATGGATTTGCTGCATATTGTTATTTTAAGTCCAGCAACAGGGTCACTGTTTAGTGAAAAGTAGAAGAAAACTTGATTTAGACGTCAAAAGATTAGTTAAATTAAACTCAAAGTAAAAGTGCCCAGTGCCCCCAGTTGCCTCATATCTAACAAATGGCAACTGATTGTCCAGTTTAATTGGAAAATGTTTGGTGATAAATGGAAATCTGCATCGCACGCATTGTAATTCCTAAAGAGTGAACGGTTGCCGTGTTCTTTTGAATCAATAGTCATCCTTTACACTGGCCAGTAAGTCACATTTGTCACATTTTCTTGATTTTCCGTTCACAAAACTCGATCACGCAGCATTTTCTAGCTGATAATCGTCTTTGGAGCAGCTCGGAAGTATAAATTTACTAATAGCTGTGCTTAGCATTTCCAGAAGCCCAGGGTATCTCACCTTCCGCCCTGCCTGAGTCTGCCAAAAGTTTTTTTTTTCTTGTCTTGAGTGCCTGTGCTCTTTAATGGGTAATGCGCCGCTAACAAAGTATATGTAAAGCACTTCGCACATTTCCACTTGCAATAAATAAAATGAACTCCCACTGAGTGACTCGCAGAAATGGTCGTGGATATTTATGGTTTCCATTTTACCGACCGTAATTATTCTCACACACACACACACACACACACACACACACACACACACATATACAGACACACACACACACACACACAACTATAGCTGACTGATCATTGCAATCAGTGAAAAAGGGGCAATTTTAACAGCCAGATGATTATCACTTGATTAAAGCTAATTTCATTTATTCCTTAACAACACAGAGCGAGACCCGCTGTGAGAGAAAACACAACAGCATTTATTCTAATAAATATTTGAACAAGATTGTGAAATAAGCCAGAAATGTTGCACTAACGTCACAGTTTAGTCGATTCTGCAGATGCTGCTGCTGCTGCTGCCCTCCTCTATGCTGCTGTGTTGATAACCTTTAGAAACGACATGTCTGGGGGAATCCTATACATACTGGTGTGAATTTATCCTACAGTCAAGTGTTTATACTGACGGGAGCAGAGCTGTCCCGTCTGCCTCTGGACCGAACCATCCTTCCGAGGACCTCCACGCCGTCGGTGGTGATGTTACCGGCTGCGCTGACGGACTTCTCTCCAACGACGGAACAATCCAGCACCACCTTCACCGACGTCTTGCTGATGGTCACGTGGAGCTGCAGGGCAGAAAGAAAACAAAATCGATTGGAAACTCTTTGGAGCGAGGAACTCTATGTGGGGTAAAGTGTGAAAAGTTGTGACTAAGATAAGATATGCTGGCAAGTTGTGGAAAAGGTTGAAGGTTAATTTAGTTTGGAATAAAATGAGTCGGAGCTGTGATGAAACTAAAGTGTAATCTTTTGAAGCGGTTTCTAGGTGTTTTGATTGTTCCTGT